TTTTCATTATTATTTTATTCTATCTTTATGAGTGTTTCTCATGCATGTATGCCTGGGCACCATACACATACAGTGCCCTCAGAGGCCAGAAAAGGGAACTGAACCCCCTGGAACTGAAGTTTCCCAGTAAGGATTCTGGGAATCAAACTAGGGTCCGCTGGAAGAACAGTTGGTGATTTTCACACTGACTCATCTCTCAAACTTCTCCCCTCTCTCATTCTATTTCTTTTTGTTTCCATGAGATCACTCTACAGATGTGTGTGAAGTAATAGAGTGAACAAAACACGATGAATTTAAAGCCCTATCGTTTTCCTGTACTGAGGCATTCCTGCTCATTTCCCATCGTAAATACCCAATGTTTTCTTCTGTATGTCCTCCTTAGATGTCATAGGCCATATCTTATTACCTCATCACATTTCATGATTTTTAAGATGTGATCTCATACACCTCCTACCTAGAAATAATAATTCCTCATTCCTATGAAAAAGCAGACATATGACCTCCTCTGTCCTCATCCTGAAACATACAATAGTTGCTCTTAATCTTGCACCCTGGTTCTCAACCAACTTGGTCGATCATGTAGAATGAACTCATGGCTGGGAAGCTTATCCTGCACTGATGAAACCTAGATCCTTTAATTTTTTTTTTTTTTAATCTTTGATATGGAACAAGAGAAAAGCTAAAAAGAGTAAGGTGAAATTCCTGAAGGGTAGAGTGGAAGAAAGTTTTGCATATGAATGTGAGTTTCAGCCATCTTAGTTCTGTTTAGAGGGAGATTTTTAAAACAATTCCTCTCGGTAGAAGGGAGGGAGGGAGGGAGAGGGAACTGGGATCCACATGTAGAATAATAAATTAAATTTAAAAAAAATGCTTTGACTCCAAAGTTTAAGTTGAAGGACAAGTTACTGGGGAAAAGGATTTCTATTTTTTGTTTCCACAGAAAATGAAAAGATGTGGATTCCTTCCAGACTAATGTGGTTTGATCACGCCAGACGGCCTGAAACAGAGTACAAGGTGATCCTACATTCAAAACAGCTGGACAAAACAGCCCTACAGACTACAGCCAGGATATCTGAATCTTCTTCGAATCCCCCATGACAGCACCCCTTACCAGCAGGAAGTAGTTTGGAAAGAACGAAGCCCAAATTCCCAAATATTGTGTATAAATGTTTGTTTTCATTTAATTGGACTTTGTTATATAAAATTAAATAAAATAATAATAATAAAAAAAGAACACACTCAAAAAAATAAATCTATCAAAAAAAAATTCCTGTCCTGAGCTTTATGCAAATCAACTGTGCTTCACTTTCTCTCAGTGTTTTCATGATTATTCAATGTGAGTAAAACAGTGGAGTTCATTGCCTAACAACACTATTTTAAAATATCATAAAGATACATTGTACTGGAATGGGTATTGTGAAACTATCCCTTCTTCCTCATCCTTCATCATTTTAATGATTATCATCCTCATCCCCATCACCACCATCATCTTCATCTGTACTCTGCAACATCAGAATCACCGCCATCATTATCATCAGTATTCTTCTTGTCAATGAAACATTTTATTCTTTTCAGATGACTCCCCATCTATTAAGTCATTTTCATTTCCATGGAAACCTCGGGTAGTACCCAGGTAAGGATTAAAAATACTCCTGTTATAGATATAACAATTGAAGACAAGCCAGATTGGTAGTTACTTTTGTAGAATGCACAGATATAATCAGAGATAAAAGGCAGCTAGCTACCTATTCTGACAGCACTGAAGCAGTGGAGAGTTTTTTCTGGAAATAAGTGGAGTAATGGGAGGGGTCTAGAAAGTCAAGACCCTGAAAGCAATAGGAGTTGGAGATTTAGGATAGGAAGGCTCAGATTGGGATTTCTAATAGTATATGAATGAACAGCCACATTAATCTTCAGAAGTGAGTTCAAGATACTCCTTAAGCTTGTAGAGGACCCAATAAACAGCCATACCTACACTGACATACATATATATATATATATATATATATATATATATATATGTACATACACATGCTGTATATATATATATATATACACATATATTTATATATTTATACATATAGTGTGTGTGTGTGTGTGTGTGTGTGTGTGTGTGTGTGTGTGTGTAGCTTGAGCTTAAGCTGCAGAGTCAAGGCTTTTGTTTCTTTCAGGTGTACAAAGGTACTCTTTCAAACGGAAATGAACACATTATAAATTGCACCATAGTATTCAAAAGGATGAATTCTTTTCTCATTTAGGATCACATGCAGTAGCCATGAATCATCCATTCCAGGGAAGGGAGGTGAGAAGAACATTAAATATAATTTATGTTTTGCTAATTGAAATCAAATACCAAGTTGAGTCTCCCTGAGAGTTGCCATGCTTACATTTAAATGGGACAGAAGTATTAGTAACCTGACTCTGTGTTGGCAAGTTGACTTAGCTTTTCTGGATAGATGATTCCTTCACCAAGCCTTCACACTAAGGAACAAAACTCAGTCATTCACTCTGAGCCAGAAAGTCAAAGGAATAGTAGTCACTGAAGAAGTCATGCCTTAAACATATCAAACTTGCATTTCTTTTCAGGATCAGGACTCTTCAAATATATTGCCAAATGGAAGTTTGGTTTGGTTGCTTTTAAGTCCCCGTGTTCTCAAGGCTTAGTTCTGCCCTTTCTTTATATAGAATGATAGATAAATGACCTAAGAGATAGCCTCTCCACTGTTGTTCAGATTGTTAGTTGGGGTCATCCTTGTAGGTCTCTGGGCATTTCTCTAGAGTCAGTTTTCTCTTCAAACCTAGAATGGCTCCCTCTATTATGGTATCTCTCTCTCTCTCTCTCTCTCTCTCTCTCTCTCTCTCTCTCTCTCTTGTTCTCTTCTATAGAGGAAGGGGTTTCTGGGCCTTTATTTCACAAGGGAAGGATGATCTATCCTTCCTTGTAGGTTTTTTAAAAACCCTGGGAACCCTTCCTTTGGAAGTAAATCTCATAACATCATGAATGGGGGTGCGAGCAAGGAAGAGGAGAGCACAAACAAGATTTTCCTCCACTTCTAAATCCCAATTTCCTTAAGAACATTTCTGGTTGTGAGCCTAGCCTTTAACGGCTGAGCCATCTCTCTAGCCCCCTTAAGAGCATTTCTGGTTGTGAAAGGACCAATACCACCACAGATCTAGTCTAGAGCTCAAGATGCATTATCCTCTGTCTGTCCGTCTGTCCTTCCTTCTTTCCCTCCCTCCCTCCCTCCTTCCCTCTCTCCCTCCTTTCCTCCCTTCCTCCTTCCCTCCCTCTTTCTTTCCTTCCCTCCTAAGTTCTCTGTCCTCTTATTCCTTTCTTTACCCTCCCCTCCTCTTTATTTTTATTTTTAGCCACTATCTCACTGTGTGACATAGGCTGGCTTCAAAGCCCTGAGGCTGCTTCAGCCTTGACTGCTATGGTTAAGGTGTCTTCCACTCTGCTTGGCTTGAGCATTGTTTTGTAAAAAAACTACCAGTAATGTGGCCAGGGCTGACACTCACTCCCTCTTTGTTCTGATCACAGAGCAAACTTCATGAAGTCCACCTCTCTCTACATGTGTGTACCCCCTCGTTGGCAAATGTGAGCACTGTATCTTTGTTTACTTTGGCATATTTGTTGCCTTCAGCCCAACTTTTCTTATCTGGAGAAAGTTATTTGTGCAGCTGTTTTTGAATCTGGTTTATCAGTCCATCATTCATGGGGTGATGAATATCTAGTACCTCTTTCCCCAGCCATAGTGTTTGTGTGACTGAAAGAAACATCCTGTCCTGCATACAGAATCTCCCAAAGACTCAAGAACCTGGTCTCTCTGCTAGTCCCCAACAAAGCCATTCCTTGCATTGCAGTGTAGGGATAGGGGTAGAAAAGTGACCAACACAAATACACCATCAAAACCCGTCAATCAGGTTGCATTAAGCTTTATAACAACACAGTTTCCATTTAGTGGGAGAAATGACAGTTTAATAACAGCTGAACAGATTCAACTCTCCCCACTCATACAAATTTCCAATTTTACCACAATTCCTGGCATTGGAGATCTGCAAACAAGTGCTTTATGTCAAATTCTGTGTTTTAATTGAACCATACTAATGGGAAGGGACACTTTATTTGGCAGCCCTTGAATAGGATGTCTGCAGACAGTCCTTGCCCTCCCCCTCCCACTTCACAATGCAAATCAGCATTCTTGCCAATGGCCCAATAGATGTCATCTCCGAGTAGAGCAAAATGAACCATGAAGTGACCCTGAGGGGGCAGTGGTGAGACAAATAGAAATACATTGAGTGTTCCCTTTCTCTCTGCAACTAGAAGGGTTTTACTCAGAACAACTAACAAACAAGCTATGGTCTTTGTCTCTAGGGTGGAGCCTATCCCTAGAGAATGCCTCAGGACCAAGATCATTAGGGAAGAGGATCTTTAGGTAAGGGGCCTCCCACCTGGAGGACTGGGTCTTTCCTTATACCCCCAGTTACAGGCATTGATCTTTGCCAAATGCAGGGCTCAAATCATAGCTATTCTCTCCCAGTTCTAGAAGCAGATTCCATTGTGAAGATGTGTACTACACTCCATAATTTAGAACACTCATGAAGAGAGAGAGAGCTATCTTAGATGGCTCTCAGATAGAAGGCTCCAGGGGTGTAGGCTATTTTTTGGTAAGGAACATACGTGCATGCCTTTGCCTTCATATTGTGGGGATGGAGGAAGTCAAGGGGTGGTGGGATGAGGCCTTTGATGGGAAAGCTAGACAGGCCTTGGAGGGAGGATATTACTCCCTGGGAGTCTTGGAGCTCTTAGCCACAAATAGCCTTCATTCTGGAGAGATGCCAGAGCAGATGTTTACATACCAGGGATTAAACACAAGGCTAGAATCCAGACGCCCAAGACTACAATAAGATCTCTGTCAAAATACATCTTCCTTCCATCCTTCTTCCCTGCCTTCCTCCTTCCTCCTTTCTTTTCCTTTCCTTTCCTCTCCTTCTTTTTGCCACCCATCAATATCATAGTAAATGCCTATGACACTGGAAGATGTTTATCCTGTTTTCAGACTCTATTAACTAGTAGAAGATAAGTATTTGTGGTGGATTCTGGTGGACATCTGGTCAACCAGGTACAGTTGGTTCCTACATAGGGATGCCATAAGATCTATACCTTTGCTTAAGCCCACAACATTGGAGGTAACCTGAATGGATGAGGTTGGCAATCTACTTGGCACTTCAGATGGCTGAAGCTTCAGAACCTGGAGTATTTGTGACTCTGGTAAAGAGTATCTTTGCTATTTATTAGCCTTCCCTCCATACTGTCAGCCTCACTTATCACCCTCTTCCTGTTCCCACTGAAAGTCTTGACCAGTCATTTGGTAAAACATCATGTTGAAGGGTTTGTAGAATTTCCGAAGTCTGTGGATGACATCTGGGTCAATACGGGGATGAGTCCGACCTTTGCTCTTGCCCAAACATCTTGGGGCACTGCTGTCTTCTGGCTTCTTCAGGCAGGGAAATCCCTTGGTTTTGTTGAAGTAAAAGTGCTTCTCAGTAACAACACGCTTGAGGCCTAGGAAATCCTGTACTTTGGCCATCTCCCCTGCAGGGTCCACTATGAGTCGCTCACCACTGACAAACAGGATCTGAGAGAGGGGAAAGTACTGCAGCCAGTTCTCCAGGTGCAGAGCATAGATCCCAATGCGAATGGCACTCCACGAGGCATCAATCAGCCCCAGGGTCCGGTTTTTGAAGGCCAGCACCTCAAAGGTAGGGATCTCTGGCTTCTTTGATAGTGTTTGGGTATAGTCAGAAATGGCCCTGGTCACTGGATTTCGTACCACCACAATGAGTTTGATGTCCTTGGCCATAGAGTGAATGCGCTTGGGAGCCTCATTTGTCACAAAGTAACTGGGGGTCTTCTCCATGGTTATCTGCCCATCCAATGTCTTGGGCATCACATTTCTAGAAGAATGAAGAAGGGGGAAATACAGTTATTATTACTATATCCAAGATATTTGAATATATTTTCACAAATTCTATGCAACACACAACCAAGGTAGGAGCCACCAAATAGAACAGATAAGCGCTGAAAGTTCTCTTTATGTCCCAGCTGTAGGCTTGACTATGCAATTATCAGAAAAGAGAGCATAAGGCTTATACATTAATCCTTGGGAGTCTTGTATCCCTAGGTTTAAACTACTTTTCTACCTCTTACCAGTTGTATTTAACCTAGATATGCCCTTAATTTCTTTATATATTAGTTTTATAATCTCTGAAATGGAGGTAATGATAGCTCCGACTTCACACTGTAGTGCAAGGATTAAGGGAGATAATGTTTGAAAAGCATTTAGTATGGAATCTCATGTGTGCATGAGCTTAACAAATTAAGGGTTTCGTTATTGTTGTAGTAGCTTTCAGGAAATGTTTGAGCTCAACAAGACCTCAAAGATTATCTGATCCAGGCTTGGCAAATTCTACTGTTTGTGTGGGAGTCACAGTTAAGAAGGATGTGTAATCTTTAAATGGTTGTGGGGAAAAAAACCAAATGATAGTAATAGTACCATTGTGTGATACATGGAAATTATTCAGAATTTAAATTTCAAAGCTTGTAAATAAACCTTCATTGGGACACAGACACACTTACTCATTTTCATATTGTACATGTGCTGCTTTTGTACAACAGACAGAAAAAGGAGTTGGTGCAACAGGTATGTGGACCACATAATCTGAAATATACATTATTTTACTTTTTAAGTAGTTTTTTGAACCCCAACATAGTCCAAAAACATTGTGTAAATGTAAATGATGAAATTGAAGCTCATGAATAAAGAATAGAAAGGCATCAGACAAACCTTGTGTCCTCAGAATACTTAAGCATATCCCTGGGCCATGACATCTTCATTATAAAGTCCTAATACTTATCTTAAGTTCATTTGAGAACAAAGTGACACATAGAATGCAAGCATAGGCTATGTAAAAGTCACAATTTTCTTTTTTCTTTGCTCATAAGTTTGCCTTGTAAACTTCCCACGAAGCCTACTCTAGCTGGGATCTTTAATAACCTCCCAAAGACATGTGTTAAAGGCTTTGTCCCCAGCCTGGGTAAAGTGCTGGAGTCTTTACAGTGGAGCAGAGGGCTACATTTGTTTCCCAGCACCCACATTATAGCTCCCAATCTGTAACTACAATTCCAGGAGATCCAACACCCCCTTCTGATTTCTGCAGGCACCAGACATGCACACAGTGCACAAACATACATGCAGACAAAAGCATACCTCTCTCTCTCTCTCTCTCTTCCCCTCTCTCTCCCTCTCCTCCACCTCCCTCTCTCCTTTTATGTCTTGGTCACGAGGTGAACAGGCTATGTTGCCATAGACCCAAAACCAATGAGGCAAGGCAAATCAACCATGGATTGCATCTCTGGAACCAAAACCCATAATAAATACTTCTTCTAAGGTGATTATCTTAGTTTTTTTTTTTTTTTTTTTTTTCAGAAGGCTGCCAACTAACATAGATCTCACACCACAGCTCTTGTCTACTGATCACCTTGACAAAAACACTTTCCATCTCCTCCCTTCCATCCACATATTCCTTCAGGGAAGGAATTGATGCCACTACCACCAGCCCAATGCAGAGGTCCACAGTGGGGCTCAGGATCTTATTATGCAGTCAGTTTGCTGTAGGCATATGTAGACCAGTGCTAATTGAGGATAAGCATGTTCAATACCTGATGATACAGTGGGCCATCTGCCACCAGGTACTCCATTAAATCCATTCACTTCTAAGCCCTGCACTAAAGTGGTACATTCAGGATTACTCAAGAACTCTTTGTTATGATGACATGCTTTTAAATGTCTGAGCTAATAAAACTTAATACAGACGAAGATCTCTTAGCCTCTCCTACCATAATTAAATTTATTTACTATCACTTGCGTGGAGAAAGAACGACTTCTTTTATCTCTAATTCACATGCTCTGTCAATAATTAATTGCTGCTGGATTTTGAGCTTTCACAGCAAGCTCTCTGATTAAGCAAGACGAGTTTGCCTGGTTAAAAAAAAATTGCTAGAACTAGACCTTGTTAGAGTACACTGGTTGGGCAAAATGCAGTCTTCAGATCATAACCCAAGGTATGGGCATAAGTAATAGTGTTTGTTTGGGGGGGGTGACATATTCTCTACAATATCCAGCGTCTACATGTGTGTGCCAGGTTGGGCTCACTAACTGCCCTGGTCTCATCTGGAAGTGTGAGGCTAAGAAACATCCTTTGAGAGTAGAACTGCCTAATCTGGTAACCTGAAAGCTCTGATGACCTTGGTGGTCTCGCTGGATCCCCTATTCTGAACCTCACCTACTCACATAAAAAAACATGCTCACAGGTCTGAGATGAAGACTAAGTATGATAATGCAGGTGGATCACTCAGGAGGGTACCTCATGAATGCCAGAATCTTATTTTCACTTAAGTTGGCTGTCTAGGATGATTTTCAGAGCAATTCTTACAGTAGGATAGAGAAAAAGAAATTACATTTGACTGAATGGAAAAGCTGAACTGAGGGTCTGATCTAGAATAAGGCAAATTGTGATTCAAACCAATGTCATCAACTGTACTTTTTGATCTAGAGTCTGGTGGCCAACCAGAAAGCTGCCCTTAGCTTTGTCTGGATACAAGGAATAAACTCAATCCTGTTTCTCTTGTAACTGGAGAGATTATTTCTTTATCAAATTATAGAACTCATATCTTATTACAAAGATATTAAATAAATGATGGTGAAAGATAATGTCCTTAAGAAGTATTACTTTTGCATGGCTTCTCCCTGATTATGCTCCCTGTGCTGCATTTTTGCATATTTGCCTTGTTTCATTTTTTTCCTCAGTACAGAAGCAGCTGTGCAACTCCTCTTATCTATTCTTTGTATTCACTCCTTAAACCTCAGTGCTTACTCTACTTTAAGTCCCATTCAAATTCATCTCCTCTACTTCAGTTAATTGACAATCTGTCAAGATCCTTGTGGATCTTGAATCTTTTATCTAGGGCATCTGGGATGAAGTAGTTCCCAACCTATAAGCCAGTGGATACGGGAGCATGACTACATGCCCAGCTTGGCATTTGATGCAAAACAAAAGAAACAGAGAGAGAGAGAGAAAGAGAGAGAGAGCAGAGAGCAGAGGAGGAGTCTCAGTGGCTCTAATCATCTTGCTGCAGGTGAATGTGACAAGCATGTAATCTGAGGGCATACCCACAGCTGGGCACTCATGGTTAAGTAAGACTGGATCATGGAATTAACATCCAACGGTTTCTTTGTCACAGAGAAAATTTCCAGTAGCTTCTCCCCAATCTATGAAATAGTAAATCTATCCTCTTTTAAAATTCATCCTTTCAGTTACTCTCATTCATTTTTTCACTGCATAAATGATCATTTACTGGTAATATCTCACTGAATAAAATGAACGTGGAACATGCAACCTAGCGGTGACTTTTGACAAATGAAGAGTATTACAACACTGTGTAATTAACTGTTTTAATCAACAGAGCAGGTATCATTACGATCCTAGTTCTACAGAAAAGGAAACAGACTTGGAATTTAAGGTCTCACTGAGTTTGTGTCTTGTTGCTAAGTGCAACATTTAAGTTATTCAGCAGTAATTTCTGTGACTTTCTCATGAATGACTGCCAAGCCATTGATCTGTTCTCTGACGCTGAGGCCAGTCCTGGGAGAGGTTTTATTTTATTACATTTTGTTGTTGTTTCTTCTTCCCAGATCTCTTATCTGGGACTCTGATAGGGCAACTATTTCTACACTATCCTGGTCTCCTCTCCTGATAACACTGCAGGAAGCAGGCCTTGGGTGTTTGCTCAGGCACTAACATATTTACCATACAAGCAATGAGGCCTAAGTTTGACTCCAAAAAACCCATGTTCATACAGAGCTGGGTGTGGTGGTACATGCTTATAATTTTAGCACTCAGGAGGCAGAGACAAGCATGACCACAAGACTTGCTAGCCAGTCTGCTTAGCCTACTTGTGAAGAAGAACAACTGAGATTGACTTCTGGCCCTCAACATACACAGGTGCATGTGTGTATATATAACATGCATTCACACACACACACACACACACACACACACAGAGAGAGAGAGAAAGAGAGAGAGAGAGAGAGAGAGAGAGAGAGAGAGAGAGAGAGAGAGAGAGAGAGAGACTGGAGAAGGCATTTCTTCTGTTAAATATGACAAACTTCCACCCAGTCTTCTTGAAGCTTTTTAGCCCTCAATTTTTTATTGTTTAATTAAGTTCTTCTCAGCTGACTCTGACATTTCAATATACCCCTGTCCTCACATCATGGAGTGTGTGCGGAACAGGACAAAGGCCAGAGATGCTGGAGGGAATTAGACAAGGTAGGAGAGTTAGAAAACAAAGTCAGGAAAGATGGTTGGGGACCAAAGCATGGAGGGCCTGACTGATTTGAGGAGGGGATAGGATTCTCCTGTATATTATAAGAATCCACTGAAGGGCACTGAACAGAAGACTAGAGAATGATTTACACTTAATTATCTTTTCCTGGCTATTTGCTGAGACCAAAGAAGAGAGTGTAAGTGTCAACGGTAGCATGTTCAGAAGCTATGTCAGGACTTTAGGTTAGAAATAGTAGTAGTCCCCAGGAATAAGCACCAATACTCCCTACTGATGGGTGGACTGAGTTTTAAGTAAAGGAGAGGTGTCAGAGACCATGGACAGCAGCATGATGTGTGAAGCAAGCAGCTGTGAAGTGGAAGACAGCAGTCTGATTTTGAATTTGGAACATGGGATATTAGGAACATATCCTCAAGTGGAGACAGCAACTTATCTGTGGCTGGGAGTCTGAAATCCAGGGGATGGATTTGGGCTGGAGGTTGGTATTCTCATTTTCTGTGCATATTCCATCTACCAGAAAGTAAGAGAGCAATATCTATCTTCTGTTCATCAC